GTTAGGTGATAATAGATAGACTGACTCTGGTGTGAGGCCTATGCTAGCAGACCCACTGGCCCGCCTTTCCCTTGTTGGCATATAGTTGGCCACAGCTCCTGGGTTCTCTGCATGCAAGGCCATCCCATCTTGCCTCCCAACTCTGTCTTCTAACAAAACAGTGGCTTATAAGCCAAGTGTTTTGTTTGACTTGGCAGAATTATTTTTAAAAATTAGATTACTTTGGGACACACTCGTGTCGCAAAGTATACTTAAACATCTGGATGCCTGACTCTTTGAAAGACGATGGAGGGGTTAGCAATGTTCTGTTCTGTATTCTTGAAGTGCTGGCATTGAAACGGGGGCTGTGTGTGCCAGGCAGGAGCCCAGCCACCGGGCTGCATTCCGTACGCTCTGAATGCCTGATGTCAGGAGCTTGTTGGATCTGAGTGGACGCTGGTCCAGTCCTTCCTTGAGGAGGGTGGAAGGTAGGGTGCCAGGACATGTTCAGGGATCTTACCCTTCCTTGAGTACACTGGGATTCTGATTGTGATTTTCTCTGTTATCCTTCTCGAATGAATTAATTATCTGTCTGTCTCTCTGTCTATATCTATCTGTCTTTCTATTTTGAGGTAGGGTCTCCCTCTGCTTCTACCATGTGGATTCAAGCAATTGAACTCAGGTTGTTAGTCTTGGTAGCAAGCTCTTTAATTCACTGGGCTATCTCACTAGTCTGGGATTATTAGGCTCTTATTCTGTAGCCCAGGCTGACTTAGTCTATAGCTGACCTATAAGCGTAACAGTCCTCCTCCCTCGATTTTCTGAGTGTTGGGATTACAGGCAGGAGCTACCGCTGCTGGTTTATAATTTGCTGTTTAAACTTTCTTTATTTTTTTTTAATTAAGACGTTCTTGTTGGGGCAGTGGGTTAAGAATCCTGGTTGTTCTTCCAGAGGGCCAGGCTTAGGTTCTTAGCACATGGAAGCTTCCAACCCAACCAACCACCTGCAATTCCAGTTCCAGGGATATGGCCCCTCTTCTGTTCTCCACAGGTACCAGGCACACACATGGAGCACGTACCTAAATACAGGCAAACACCCATGCACATAAATAAATCTTTAAATTTTTTTTTAATTCGATTTACATTAATTGTGTATGGGTGTTTGGTGGATTCGTGGTCTGCTTATACTTTTATTTGGTAAAGGGCGGAGGGGAGGAGCTTGGTGGTGTCATGCCACAGCCTGTGCTTGGAGGTCAGGACAACTGGTGGGGAGTCATTTCTCTCCTTCTATATGTGGGCTCCAGGGATTGATTAAACGCAGGTTGTTGGGTTTATCGGTAAGTGCTGTAACTCACTGAGCCATCTCTTCAGCCTTATAGACCACTGTTTGCTTTGATTTTTGAGACAGGGTCTCTATTTTATAGCTCCGTCTATCTTGGAAGTCTCTGTAGATCACGCTGGCCTTGAACTCATAGAGGTGCACCTGCCTCTGCTTCCTGAGTCCTGGGATTAAGACATGCACCACCACATCCACATAGTCTACTTTTAAATTTTATTTTTTTGAGGTAGGATTTCTCTGTGTAGCTCTGGCTGTCCTGGACTTGCTTTGTAGACTAGGCTGGCCTCGAACTCACGGCAATCCACTTGCCTCTGTCTCTCGAGTGCTGGGAAAAATAATACATTTTTGAAGCCTCTCTCAACCAAATCTATTTCTTGCACCTCTGATTTCTACCCACTAGATGCCAGTAGCATCTTAAAACTGCACCTGTGTCCATGAGTCATATCAACTTGGCTACGATTATTTTACTGGTGTCCATCAATCAGAACCAAAAAGACTTGAGTGCTACCCTGGCTTTTGGGTTTCCGTGCACACTTCAGTACTGCTTGCTCTTATACAGAGACTGACAAATGTCTTCCCTTAGGCTGTAGGTGGTTGGTGAAGAATACTGTGAATCTGCCATGAGTATTTCCAGTTGCCTCTTTAGGCCTCACGTGGCTCTGGTGTCCTTATCCATGCAAGATCTAACCCAAGGGCAGTGGAGAGGCACGGAGGCTCCTGCAACTGATGACTTAGAAGACTGTAATGATTGGGAAGTCATTCTGCTACAGCACTTAGACTTTCAGGGAACTTCGTGCTATAATTGAAGCACTTACTACCATTTAATGTACTATAGCCTTGAGACCAGGTGAAGGTGGGCTTGCGTTTTCTCTCCATGCTCCTCCTCCGTGGCTCCTCAACTGCCATTGCTCCAGCTGTAGCCGACTCTTAGCTTTCCTCCAACTCTTTATTTTAGGGTTCTTAGTAGCCAACCCAGAAAGCAAAAGCAGAGTGCTTTTTCTTCCTCAAAGCACTAGAAATAGAGATGGCTTATTAAGAAAAAGAAAGGGGCCCAGTGAGATGGCGCAATGGGTAAAGATACCCGCTAGCAAGCCTGATGACTTGAGTTCAGGAGTTCAAGACCCGCACCATGGGAAGAGAAAATTGACTCTCAGGTTATCCTTTGACCACATAGATACTATGGCATACACACAGTAATTTTATGTATTTGTGTTTGAGACAATGTCTCACCACATAACTCTGGCTAGCCTAGACCTCATTATGTAGACCAGGCTTGCCTTAAACTCCCAAAGATCTACCTGCTTTTGCCTCCCAAGTGCTGCAATTAAGGGTGTGTGCCACTGTGGCTGGCCATTTATGGGTATAGCCCAGATTTCTGTGCGTCATTAGTTAGCCAGTGTGAGTGAGTTCCAGGCCAGTAAGAGATTTTAAATGGCAACCAAGGTTGTCCTCCAATCTCCACACACATGCACAAACCTCCATATACATGCACATACCTGTATACATGAAAACATGCATACAAAGAGAGGGCTGCCTGTTAAAAAAAAGTTGAGAAGAGTCAATGTAAACGATTTCCAACGAAAACCTTTTCTTCCCCAAACAAGGAAAATTCAAGCTTAGGTTCTTTTAAGTGGCAGACTAGAACTCTGGAACATTCTGTTCTATGGTCTTATCCTACTGAGCAAAACCAGTGTTTTCCAATTCGCCACCGCTGGCGCTGAGTTCCTGTGGCTTAGCCACCTGCTGAGTGTTTTTATTTTTATTTCTCCCTAGACCTCCAACTTTTGAGTCTCAAATGCCTAATTACTTTTAGAGGATTTGGTAAATAGATTGAGCGTGTTGGTGTGAAATCTGCTCTGGGCCTTGGAATACTCCCCATTGCTGGTTTTCCTGTCCCCAAAGCTCACAGCCTGTATGTGGCATCTTTTATGTGCTTCCTGCAGACAGGTCTAGAACCCTCTCGTGTTTTTTTAGTTAACCTGTCGTCAATGCTGTAGACCGTTGCCGGCCTGTACTTTGTAGTGGCCATGGTTTCTTTCTAGTACCTCAGACTGCAGCATCCCTGGTCCGTTTTCAATTCAGCAACCGGAACAAGCCAAGTAACGGTGTACAAATGACCATGTGACCTGAGTTCAAGACCCTGTGGTGACCTCCTGTTACATTAGAAGAAACTAGTCTTTGTGCTGGCCGCTGCTCCCCACTTCTCATCATCAGTTGCCTGCTCCCAGGCCGTGGCATTTGCTCATCTTTTTGCCTGTTGGCTCCAGGTCTATTGTGAGCCTGTGTTTCCTTTGCGAGTGACACACAGAACACCTCTGACGTCTTACTTGACAACAGGGTAGTCTCAGAAGTGACCACCTCTTCTTTTTTTCCCCCTGCTCTCTTTGAGCCATTTTTTATGTCTTGCTAGTAATTGCTTGTAAGCATAGGTTTTGCTTAAGTTGGGATAAGGCAGAAAATATTGGCCTACCATGTGCCCCTCTTCCATCCTATCCCATTTTTTTTTTGTTTTTAAGACACAGTCTCAGGCTAGACCTGAACTTAGTGTGTAGCGGAGGATAACCCAGACTCCTAACCCTCTGGCTTTTACCTCCCAGCTGCTGGGATTAAAGGCAGGTGCTTTGACTGACAGGTTAGAGGGAAGGGAGCGGGAAGAAGAGGCAAGCCTGAGAACTTGACAGCAGAACTCAGAGCTTGTCCTTAACTCTGTCCTCCTGTCACAACTCCTTGTCAGGGAGCAGCAATGGGACTCCTGGGAAGCAGAAGCTCAGCGGCTGCAAGGGAGCCTGATCTTGTTTCCCAGCAAGCTGTATTGTCCATGGTCCGGGTCAAATCCAGTTTAAAAGTAACAACAAAAATCTACAGCCTATTCTTGTTTTGAACTTTATTATTGTGTTGATTAACGCTTTGGAAAAGAAAAAAAAGGTTGCCAGGCATGGTGGCGTAATTCTAGCTTTCCGGGAGGCAGAGGCAGGTGGATATTTGTGAGTTCAAAGCCAGCCTGTTCTAACGTGAGTCCAAGACAGCTAAGGCTACACAGAGAAACCCTGTCTCAAGAAACCAAAAAAGAAAAAAGACAAGGTTACTAACTAGAAATAAAAATTGGAGATTTTTAGTAAACTTGAATTCTTTTTATTGAGGCATGGCCTTTGCTATGTATGGGCTTACTTGATATTTGTACGTAGCTCAAGCTGGCCTCGAACACCCAGTAATTTGCTTCAGCCTCATTGAATACTGGCATTACAGGAGTCTCCTCCCTATACCCAGATTTTATTTTTCATTTTAAGTTGCCCTGACTGGCCTTGAACTCACTTATAGCCCAGAAAAACCTTGAACTTTTGACCCTGAGCAGCTGAGCCACCATGCCTGGCCCTTAGTATCATGATGGTCATGAGGCCGGGTCTTCTGCAGCAGCAATTCTATATCTGCTGTTGAACTTTGTCTTCATCCCCCAAATGAGGTATTTTAAATCGACTCTTCCTACACTTAACTCTTGATTCAGTGGCTGTCAATAGAAGCCAGAAAACAAGGCAAGTTAAATTGAGGCCTGGGAAATCAGGAAGGCCATGAGATACGGCATACCTGATAATATCCATCAGCGAAGGTGGTTTTGATTTCCTAGAGATGTATCCTATGATCTGCCCATGAAGTAATGATAATCCCACCTTGCCTTTCCCTCTAGGCAAATAAGGGAGCGGCTGAAGAACCAGGTTACTCAGATGAAGGAGCAAGTTCCTGGCTTCACCCCTGGCCTGGCAATCCTGCAGGTAGTATAACATCTGTTTCCCTTAATGCCACCCTTAAACCCAGCCTCTCCACAGCACTGGAGGCTGCGGCACCCCAGACTTCTGCCATGTAGGCAAGGATGACCTTGAACTCGCATCTTCCTGCCTCTGCCTCCCGACTGCCAGGATTGTTGCCTGGATTTGTGGGGTTGCTGGGGTTGGAACATGGGGCTTCCTGCATGCTAGGCACGTCCTGCACCCCCTGAGCCGCACCATTAGCCCTGCCCCGTAGGTCTTCTTAGGACCCCTTGTACTCGTAAATGTTAGAGATCTCTCGGAACTTAGCTATTAACAGTTACTGTATTGGAAATAAAATTTGGGTCAACCAGGCTTCTAATTCAGAGAGCTCTGTCTGCCTACCTCACCTCTTGAGTGCTGGGATTCAATGTGTGTACCACCAGACCCTGCCCTAAGAGGTTTTTATTTCTTTATTTTTAAGGGCTGGTATAAGTTTAATCCTTGGGTGGGTATGTGCATACATGAACACAGACACCGCTGGAGTCCAGAGGAGGTATCAGATTCCCTGGAGCTGAAGTTAGTGGTGGTTGTGAGCTCCGCAGTGTGGGTGCTGAGAACAATACTCTGTCCCTCCGAACCAGCCCTCCCATCCCCCAGATTAAGTGTTAAATATAGTTTGTTTCAAAATGCCAGTAGGAAATTCTCGGTATGTTAGCGTAAACATTATGGAGAAAGAGCTTTGAGACAGGCCCTGCTTTGTACCCCCGGCTGACAGTGACCTTCAGAGCACCGAGAGTATAGACATGCACTAGCATCTCCAGTTTAGAACGTTTTGGTAGTAAAATTTGGTGAGAAGGCATGTGTTACCTGTTGACTTTTTTTTTTTTTTTTAATGGGTGCATGTGCGTGCCGTGGTGCTCTGTAGGAGGTCAAAGAATAACTTTCAGGAGTTGTCTTAATGGGCGTTACTATCACTGTGATGACCGTGAATGAAAGCAGCTTGGAGAGGGAAGGGCTTATGTGGTTTCTATATCTCTATGTCTGTTGAGGGACACCAGGGCAGGAACACAAACTGGCATAAAAATAGAGGCAGGAGCTGAGGCAGAGGCCATGGAGGCGTGCTGCTTATAGGCTTGCTCCTCATGGCTTGCTCAGCCTGCTTTCTTATAGAGCCCAGGACCACCAGCCCAGGGATGGCCCCACCCACCATAGGCTGGGCCCTTCCACAGTGGTGCACACAGTAAGAAAATAGACAGATGGGCATTATGGCACGTATGCAAACTCCCAGCCCTTGGGATGCTGACGCAGGAGGATTGCTGTGAATTCAAGGCAGCCCTGGCTATATGGCAAAACCCTGTGCAAAATATGGAAACTAAATTTGTTGGACATAATAAAAGCTATGTCCGGAGTGGGGAAAATGCCCTGCAGATTTGCCTATAGACTGATCTTATGGAGGCATTTTCTCAACTGAGTTCCGTTCTCTCAGATGCCTCTAGCCTGAGTCAAATTAACATAAAAACTAGCCAGCACATGCTAGTATGTTACCTCAGACCAGTTGTCTTAACTTATTCTACTACTGTGGTAGAACACCGTGATCAAAAGCAACCTGGGAAGGAAAGGGTTTCCTTCATACGATAGTTCCGTATCAGTCCCTCAGCAGAGCAAGTCAGGGCGAGACCTGGCGCAGAGGCCATGGAGGGCTGCCGCTTTCTGGCTTGCTGCCCAAGACTTACTCAGCCTTCTTTTTTATACACCCCAGGACCACCTGCCTGTAGGATGGCATCACCCACAATGGGCTGGGCCCACCCACATCAGTCACTAATTAAGAAATGCCCCACAGGTTTGCCCACAGAGCCGTCTGCTGGGCCCATTTTCTCAGTTGAGGTTCCCCCTTCCCAAACGAGTCTTGATTGTGTCAAATTGACATAAAACTAATCAGCATGCCAAGAGTCAATGGTTTTGTTTCTGGTTTTTTTTTGTTTTTTTTTTTTTTTTTTTTGTGGGATTTTACACTTTAATTTAACCATGCCTATAATTTGTGGCCACACTATGTTGTCCTTAGACTTTTGTTCATCCTCTTGCCTAGTCCTCCCGAGTGGTGGGGCTGCAAATCTGTAGTGCCTCAGTTGATCATTTTTAGAATTTATTTGCAAAATACTCAAGCCTGAGTAATCATTGTTTGTCAGTTCTTTCAAGAAAAGTTGGTTTTCTGTGGAAAAATGCATCTGGTTTATCTGGCAAGACAAAATAGCACAAATGCTTGGCCTATTAATAGCCGCAGAGCTTCCCTCACAGACAGCAGGAGTGCTGTGGGAACTTCCTGGTTTCTTTACATACAGTCTTGAAGAGGTTCCCAGGTTGAAGTTTAATAACATCAATAACTGGGACGACTTGTCAAGAGCACTCCTCAGTGAAACTGACATCTATCTTCACTGAGGGGCTGTGGCAGGGTGGGAGACATGGAAGAATGGGGGGGGGTTGGTGTCCTTGGCTTGATTTCTGCCACCACCAGCAGACCTACCCCCTGCCACTTTTGTGCCACCCATACAAAAGTCAACATAATTAAAAAAAAAAAAAAGGCAAATGTCATCATACAAAAGGTCAGAATTTAAAATGAAATTGCTAATGACAAACCTCGACAGAGAGAGGCTCACAAAGGGACCATTGTCAGACATTACTGTATCATAAAGTCTCTATACCGATACACCACAACCTTCCACAAAACCACAACCCCATACAGAAAACATTTCTGCAAGGCTATCTACCCAGCAACAAGCTGCCTGTCCAACTATGATTGTATCAGAACAACTTAAGGGGTCCTCATTTTGCGAAGAGTCATGTCTTTTGCCTCCCTGGATACGTATATATTTACTATGGCAAGTGTATGTATTTCTATTGCAGTGTTCATTTCTCTTTGGAGAATTGCTCCTATGAAGACAGCTGTACTCTTCTTAGTGGAACCCTCATTTTAAAGAAAGATAATCATTTTTATTCATTTTAATGATATCCTTTTAGTCAGGGTCTCACTCTGTAGACCAGGATCAACTCAAACTTACATTGATCATCCTGCCTCTGCCCCCCATGCGCTGATTACAACACACACACACACACACACACACATATATATAATCGTATTTGTACGTTATGTATACATTAATGTAGTTCAGTGTAATTTCTCTTGCTTGCTTTCATTTATTCATTCACTCATATTTTCAGATAGGATCTTACTGTGTACATCTGGCTAGCCTGGAGCTCACTATGTATGTATGTTCAAGGCTGGCCTTGAACTCAGGGCAGCCCTCACGCCTCAGCTTTCCAAGTGCTGGAATCAGGGAGGCATGTACCAAGCTTTTCCACCCTTTTTCTTTTCCTTCATAGGAAATATTGCCAAACTCCATTCCTCCTGATCTCTAAATTCATCCACTAGGGAGGCAACTATTTGCTTGGACATATGTACAGATGGGTTCCTGAAGGATTGATTTTGGCAGCAGAAATAGCTTTCATTTGAAACTTGTTTCAGAGTCACCATCTTCCTTGTCCCACATTCTCTCTGTGCCCGCCTGCACATATGCCAATTAATCCTGTGCTAAGCCTCTGTCCCTTATGTATCAAGAATTTCAGAATGGGTGGTAGTTAAATGCCGCCTTCCCCCGGCCCACACTGCTGTTTATCTACACCGCCTGGGCGGAGCAGAAATGTCCGCACAGAAGGCTGTGGCTCTCCCTGCTGTGCTCCACACTGTGGTAGCTTTTCCTTTTTTGCCTCTCCTCAGATAACTAAGAACCACAGATTTGTGTGGTGGGTGTAGACCCGGCACATTTGGGGACTGGATTCTTCTTGACTGATTCTTAATTGTTTGTTGTGGGAAGAAATACATGTCGTGGGCAAGAACTGTGACTCTGGGTTGGAGGTGTAGCTCAGTGGTGGAGCAGGAGAAGAAAAATGGAATTCATTTTTGTAAATCATTGGACTAAGCTACTTCCCTGGGTCCTGTGAGAGGTCAAAATGGAGCCAGTTATGCTAATGATAGTCAATGCCACGGAGCTGTTTATCTGACCTGAGGAAAAGCAACCAAATTGCCCAAACTGCCCAGTTTCTCTGTGACCTGACATTGCCCCATCTGTTCTTTCTGTAGTTCTGACACCCTGACCCTCCCTGCCACCTTCCAGAGCAAATAACTTTAAAATGGCGGGTGCTCTTCCTTCCTGCTTTCCTTAGCCTTTTTTCTGTCTACAAAACCAAGCTCCTCTGTTTTATGAAGTGTGCATGATTGTAGAATTGCAAAGGAAACCAGTTAAGGTCTTTCAGTCGTTGTAGTTTCTTCCTTCCTCCTCTTCCTTTAGTATATGTTTTTGTCATGAAAGGGTCTTCTCTATCTCAGACTGGCCCTTAAATTAAAATGGCTTTGAACTTGATATCCTTCTGTTTCTATTTCCCTAGTGCTGGAATAACAGTGGCCTGCCACAATACCAGCCTAAGTTCTTTTAACCAACCCTTTTCTTAGCAATATATATTGCTAAGAAAAGGGTTGGTTAAAATATAAACCATATATATAATATAAAATATTATATATTTTATATTTAAATATATATTTAAATATAAAATATATATTTAAATATAAAATATAAAATTTATAAAATATAAATACATACATATATATGTATGTATTTAATTGACTTCAAATTTACTGATTTTGCAAGTGTCTACTGTAGTCTAAGCAATTTCTGCTGCATATGTCTCAGCAATGGAACAAAGGCTTGTTCTTTGATTGTAAGGCTACATAAGATACTGCCATCTCACCTTTTCTTCAGACCTCTTATCTTTTTTGCCCTGAGATTTTGATGTCTTCTCCACACCTATGCCAGAGGTCTAAGGTCATCTCTATTCAAAGCCTGGGTGGTAATCCTAGCGCTCAGATAAAGGCCAGAAGACTAGAAGTTCAAGGCCAGTCTATTCCTGTGTGAGACCCTGTCTCCAAAACAAGACAAAGTCTCATCCTCCTGAGGCTATTGTCCTGCGAAATCTGCTTCTTGGGTCTTGGAATCTGTTCCCTGCCTTAGGTCCCTGTTCTTCCCACTCTGGGTCACCCTCACTGGTTTTCTGCTTCTAGTCTAAACACCTCCATCCTTTTTTTTTTTTTTTTTTAAGTGTATGAATGAACCTACATGTATATCTGTGCACTATATGCATACCTGGTACCCATGTAGGCCAGAAGAGACGTTTGAATCCCCTGGAGCTACAGATGTTTACAGATGGTTGTGAACTGCTGTACAGTTGCTGGGAATCAAACCCAGGCTCTTCTGAAGAAGCATCCGGTGCTCTTAGCCTCTGAACTGTCTCCAGCAGGAAGCTCGTGTTAAAGTATAAATCTTATCATAACTCACCCAACTACACTCCCTTTTTACTGATGAAACAATAGCACTACTTACATAGATAAGTGTTTATTGTGGTTCAAAGGTTCTGTATATATTTGTGATTGTACTAATTGCTACATTACCCCTGTAAGATAAAAGCTGTCCTAACAGTAATTGATGCCCAAACATCTTGTGGGGTTGGCCAAAGCCAGTCAAAAAGGATGAGTTTTGCATCCCAGCCAAGCACTGATTCCAAAACCTGCTTGTTTTTCTCTCTTGTCACCATAAAAATTAACACTGCTTATGGAAATAAGAAAATAGTTTATTCTCAGCCAATTACAAGTGGCCATGAGAAATCAGGAAATATGGATTCAGATGATCTGAATGACTAAAAGAAAGTTATCAGTCAACAAAATACATAGGTGGGGCAATCAGGTAGGTGCGATATACCAAAGCAAGGAAATTGACTTAGGTGTTATTTTTGTTCTTAGTTCAAGGGTTAATAGAGGCTAAACTCAAGCTTATTTCTAGAGGTTTGTCTAAAGGTTATGAGGAAGTCAGATACAAGGTGGATAACAAATGGAGCTATAAAGATAGCCAGAGGTCATTTTGGCTCTTACTGGCAACAGTCTCTTCACATTCATAGGGGTCTACTTCGAAGGCCAGCAGGCTGCAGGATCTCAAGCTCATTAACATTCTCTTCAAGGACATCCATACAGCCAAGGTGTGGATGCACAGCTGTAAATTCAATCCATATTCAACAAACAAACGGCAGGATATTCATGTTCTAGTCCAAGTATATGCTTGTTGACTTCCTTTCTTTCCTCCCTCCCTTCCTCCCTTCCTCCCTCCCTCCCTCCTCTCTCCCTCCCTCCCTCCTTCCCTTCCTTCCTTCCTTCCTACACTGCACTTTCTAGTGTAAAAACCCGTATGAAGCCTGGGTGGAGGCTCTGGTGTGAGTTTTCACAAGATGGTCGGTGAATTCCTGCTGGGGAGACTTGTTGAACAGAGTTTCTTTCCAGAAATTGGGAGTTGGGTAGCTGTAGGCTTGGAGGTGGCCTCAGAGGTAGCCTTGGCAAAGTTGTCCGGGGTGGCAGTGCACATCCTGGCTGATGTGTATGTAGCCGTCATTAACACTGGCTATCCAAGCAGCTTCTTGGGGACAGGAACAGATCATGCCATTGCCTCTGGGGACAGGGATGAGGCACAGCAGCACAAAGCCTCCGTGACTGCCACCTTGGGTGGGGCTTGCCAATGGAAGGCTTGGCCAAGATGAAGGCCCCTCAGATGGTACAGGTTACCTCCTTGCAGCACCTAACACCGAGACCAACATGGCCATTGCAGCCCATATCTGCATGATCTTTAGAATGTCATCATTTAGGGACACTCTGGAGAATATCTCAGTGAGCACAGATTCCTTGATAGGCATGGAAAAGAGGTAGATCTCATCCAGGGGGATGATCTTCATGTCCTTGACCGGGTGGCCCAGCTTGGAGAGGGGATCCACTCATTGTCTTCCATTTTACTTCCATGAGCCCCTGGGGCCTCACCACGGCCTCTAAGATGGATGGGCCTCCCAAGCCTGGACCCCTCAGTCCTCCTGTTATACCTGTGCAATCTGCCTTTTAGTATATTCCTGAGGACGAGGCTGGTGGATTTTTTGGAGTTGAGTGGTGATAGTTGTTTTTGTTGTTTGGGTTTTTTGTTTTGTTTTGTTTTGAGACAGGTTTTACGTAACAGGAGTTGACATTGAACCTGCTGTGCAGCTAAGACTGGCCTTGAACTCTGCAGACACCTCAAAAATGCCAGGATTACAACTGTGTGCTCCATGGTGTAATATTGCATGTTTTTAATCCCCATGCTTGAGAGGCAGAAGCAGGCAGATATCTGTGAGTTCAAGACCAGCCTGGTTTACATAGCAAGTTCTAGACCAACCAGGACTACACAAGTGAGACCCTGTCTGAAAGAGAAAAGAAAAAAACAAACTTTAACATGCACTCTGTCTGGCCTGTTATAAAAAGTGTTTGCAAAGGAGCTGGACCAGGATTTATAATCCCAGCATGTGGGAGACAGATGCAGGAAGAGCAGGGCCAGCCTTGGCTACATAAAAGATTCTAGGTCAGTTTGGGCTACGTGAGACCTAGGTTGATCTCAGACTCACATGTCTCCCTCCTGCCTCAGCCTTCTAAGTGCTAAGATTACAGGTGTGTGCCTCCACATCTGCCTTGAATTGTGTTGGGTCTTTCTGATGGCATAAGGCACAGCCCCTTTGCAGGAAGGGTTAGCACTCAGGATGAAATGCTTAAGTAACATTCTTGATAAATCATATTGGGATTAAGATGTGTTCTGGGGAACCAGTCTACCACCCGCCTACTTGACTGCCAGTCAGGAATTTAATGTTCTTTAAACATTCCTGCATCTAGTCTATCATTGATTATATAACCAGCTTCCCTACGAGAGGGTTAGGGCTGGGCATGTACTGCAGGCTCAGCACTTGCCTAGCATCCAGCATGCAGGAGGCAAGACCAAACACGCACACACACACACACACACACACACACACACAGCTAAACCTCCAAGGATTGAGTTCCTCTATGGACCTCTCCTAGTTCCTTTGATGTTCAAACTAGTCCGAAAAGCTGAGGGCCTAGGCATATGGGACAACCAGAGCTCAGATTCAGGCCATATTCCTGAGATCCCAGGGACTGTCAGACTGTCCACACGGCAAGTTCTGGAAATGCTGTTATGAAGGCCGGCCTCGGCCAGCCTCTGCCAGCCTGCGTCCTGTCAAGGACTTCCCTTAGTCAGCACCTTGCCCTCTGCAGTGTGGAGAGAAGCAAAACTTACTGCAAAGAGAATATTTGTGACATGAATTTCCACAGATGACTGATTGCAATAAAGAACTGCAAGCATGGTCATGATGAAGAACTTACACAGTGTAGTGGGGTCAGGGTTCAAAGGGCACAACGTCTCCCGCACTGCATGCTGTGCAGTGGGCACTGGCGTACCCTCCCCGCTGGTGTCTGTATAAGCGAGCCCAGCTTCCTCTCTTGCTGGTTTCGCTACAGTATGGCTGGATGTGAGCATTTTCCACCACTCCTGGGGGTAGGAAAGTGGGTGGACTGTGCTTTTGGGTGTGTCTGCCTCTTTGGTGTCTGTCCGGACTGAGGATAATTTCTCAGTTCAGTTGCTGCCCGGTTCTAAGTAATCCCACATTTCCGGTAGCCTGTAGCACTCTTTCTTGCCTTGTATATCGTACAGGTACACACCCTGTTTTTGTTTTTGTTTTTAAAGATGGGCTATCTTTGTTGCCCAGGCTTCAGCCCTCTGAGTGGCTTGAAACCAGGTGCGTGTCATTGCTTCCGGCTTCACGTGTTCTCTTCCCTTGGCATTGCCAACGGATTGTGTGAACCAAGTGAGAGAGTAAAGCTACTTGTACTCGCCCCCAGCCTTCCTGCCTTCCCCCAGCCTCCTTTGTCAGCTGTAAAAGTTCTCTTCATCAAGAGTAGCACTGCTCAAGTATTCGTTTTATCTAAACTAAAATTCCTGAAGTTTTTCTGTACACTTTGCCTTTTCCTGTCTGATTTGCATGTATTTATTATTCCAGGTTGGCAACAGAGATGACTCCAATCTTTATATAAATGTGAAGCTGAAGGCTGCTGAAGAGGTAAAGCCCAGAGCACCAATGCTGGCATCCTAACTCACAACCCCCCACCCCACCAACCTAAGGTCCTGTTGGTTAACCTTGCCCTTTGTGCCCCTCTCCACAAAACTGTCACCAGCAGACCCTAATTTAACTGTTGGGCAGGCCAGAGTCACGTGACCTAGCCCAGCTGGGTTTGCCCACAGTGTGCTTCTTATCGATGGTTTTCTTCCCAGAGAGCCAGATGAGTGAATGTGGGATGGTGCCGAGAGCGATGGTGACAGGTGAATGACAGGACAGGCTGATTCTTCTCCACACACAGTCACAGTCCTTCAAAGAGACGGGCCCACCTCTCAGGCTCTTCTACCATTTGCCTGTTTCCTGTGTTTGTTTCTGCAGATTGGGATCAAAGCCACTCACATTAAATTACTGAGGACGTCCACAGAGTCTGAGGTGAGCCAATGAACAAGCCTGGTGAGGTACCTCACTGTCTGCTTGCTTTGGTGGAACCTTAGGGGCTGAGGTACACTTTGTGGACAGAGATCTCTAGGTTCTTCACAGCCCTCACTTCCCCCTTTCTTTTTTCTTTTCTTTCTTTCTTTCTTTCTTTCTTTCTTTCTTTCTTTCTTTCTTTCTTTCTTTTTGTTTTTGCTTGTTTGTTGTTGTTTTTGGAGACAGGGTTTCTCTGTGTAGCCTTGGCTGTCCTGGACTCCCTTTGTAGACTGGGCTGGGCTCAAACTCACAGAGTTCCACCTGCCTCTGCCTCCCTGAGAGCTGGGATTACAGGCATGCACCACCGTGCCCGGATCACTTCCCCCTTTCAACATCTGTGTAACATACAAATTAAATGTGGCGCTCCTATTAGGTGTTAAAATACGTCATCTCCCTGAATGAAGACACCACTGTGCATGGATTCATAGTGCAGCTACCTTTGGATTCAGAGAACCCCATCAGCACGGAAGCCATCATCGATGCTATCTCACCCGAGAAGGATGTGGATGGGTGAGTGCTGCCTGCTCGTTTGGTTTAGAGCACGCTTCTGTCCTGGAAGCGTAGTTCCACGCTTGTTTCTAAAGAACAGAGGCTCTGTTCCTTCCGCCTTATTTTGACAACTTCGTTTCAGGTTGACTAGCATCAGCGCTGGGAAACTTGCCAGAGGTGATCTAAATAACTGCTTCATTCCGTGCACGCCTAAGGGATGCTTGGAACTCATCAAAGAGACAGGTAAACATGAGCCAAACCAGCAGCAGGAAGGCGCCTCTTGCCTAAGAAAGAGCCTCCAAGATGTGTGCAATACAGAGGAAGTAGCTCACAGGGAAATGGACTTGATGCACAAAAAAAGCTGAAAAATATGCTCATTTTTCTCCCCAGCCCCGAGGAGGACACTCGCTGCTGTTTAATAGCTGAGGAAGCAGGCTTAGAGCTGGTGTACTTGCAGAAACACTTGCAGCCTCAGCACTTGGAAGGCAAAAGCAGGAGAGGGGAGGGTCAGGAGTTTGAGGCCCTCAAAAGCAAGGACTGAGGCTCAGTCCCCTGCACTGAAAGCAAAAAGAAGCAAACAGACAAAAGAGACGACAGAGTCAAGATTTGAACCCAGGGTTGGGTGCCTTCAAAGCAGTTGATTTTGTGTGTGTGTGGGGGGGGGGGGGGGGGGGGGGGGTCGGATGGGGAATCCCAAATGGCAGTAAGAATTCAGAGAGCAGAAAAGTGAGCAAAGCAGTGGGATCCTGTCCCTGGAGCCAGCACCAAGTCTACTGTGGTTCCAGCACTAGACAGATGGCTGGAGCGGATCTCGTGAGCAGTCACCCCGCCTTACTTTATAACATAGCTAGTACCTTCGTGTTTTACTTTCCTTATGAATACTTTCAGCAGAGTTTATTTTTTGCAAGGAAATGAGTCCTGTAAGGAAAAAGTAGGTCAGAAGTTTCAAGCGAGGGATTTGCCCCATGTTAGTAATGAAAATTGTCTGTGGTCGGCCAGCGACGAGAAGCCTTGGCCCAGCTAGGACTGTTCAGACCTACAGTTTATATTCTTCAGTATGTTTAGGCAACGATTATTACAGCTTTATAGAATCAAACCTTATGAACTACTAACTTGTGGCTTCTCAGCTTCAAATCTTTGCTGAATCCTAATTAGTACAATAAGGTGTCATTGATTGATTGGTTTGCTGTGCTGGAAATGAAAGCCAGGGCCTCCAGCATGACCTTGTAGCTGCTCTACAGTTGAGCCACGCCTCCAGCCCAGCGCCGTACTTGTTACTCGCTTCAGACTTTGAGGACTTCACACCTAGTATAGACAGACATGATGGTAACACTCTCTAAGCGCTGGTCATCTGAAGGAACTGATTACTCTTCAAGAAGTATGGTTTCAATCTCAGGCTGCCTCAAGCAAGGGTTCATAGCTTTTCAGCCTTGATGGGATGCTGGCAGTTGGTCTGATGTGGATTGCTGGCCCCCAAGATCTCATTGCACGTATCCTTGTTGTGTAAACCTGCCTAAGACATGCCTGATGGGTTGATCGAACAGCCTGTACCTGGGCAGGGCAGAATCGCATAGACATGGCCAAGGTTCCTAGGCTGAGAGAGGACAGGAGAATCACAGGAGACAGAAGAGGATGGAGGACACCATGACGGGTTAGTGTGGAGAAGGAAACCACATGGGCCGAGAGGAAGGACTCCAATAATGACGTGAAAAGGCCCAGATAAAAAAAATACAAACCAACTCCAACCAAGGACTATTCATGGAGATAACCTAGAACCCCTGCACAGGTGTAGCCCATGGCAGTTCAGTGTCCAAGTGGGTTACATAGTAATGGGAAGAGGGACTGCCTCTGACATAATCTGATTGGCCTGCTGTTTGATCACCTCCCCCTGAGAGGGGAGCAGCCTTACCAGGCCACAGAAGAGGACAATACAGCCACTTTTGATGAGAACTGATAGACTAAGATCAGAAGGAAGGAGAGGAGAACCTCCCCTATCAGTGGACTTGGGGAGGGGCATGCATGCAGAAAGGGGAGGGAGGGTGGAATCGGGAGGGGAGGGGGAGGGGCTTATGGGGGAATACAAAATGAATAAAGTGTAATTAATAAAAAATAAAAAAAAGTTAAAAACAAAACAAAACAAAAAATACAAGCCAGTACCATGGGATTACAGGTGAAAAGTAGACCAGATGAGGAGGATTAAGGTGGATGGCTTTGGATGGAGCTGGGAGATGGATGGCGAGGTTATTGAGCCAGCGTAGGTAAAATATCCTGCCCAGCCCAGGGTAAATAAGGCAATTATCAAATCTAACAGGTGTCTGTGTCTTATTATTTGTGATAGCTGGTTAAGTAATACCACCATGATAATCTTAGGACTAATTATAAACATTTATATAGCCCCAAACTAATTTTTTATCTACAACAACAGTGGGATAGAGTGGCTGGACAGAGCTTTCCAGGCCGCTCTGCTTCCTTCCAGGCCAGCAGCTCATCTGCAGGCCCCTCCTGGAAGTGAGGCTCCTCCCACACTCACTTCTCAGGCTAGATAGTCGCGGACTGCACCTCATAGGTCAGGGCTGCGGCGGAGCACTTGACTGCTCTGTGGGACAGCATAAGGAGCTGCAGGGTGGGTCGGCCCCAACACAGGGGATGCTGATAGAGTGTCAGAAGCACAGGCGCTGAGTCGGCTAAAAGGCTTTCCAGTCACTTACAGTTCCCGTTGTCACTTCCCTGCAAATAACCCTGTGCTTCAGGCCCTAAGCCAGACAGAACTTTGGATGAGAAACAACTCGCTGAATTTGGAAAGCCCGACCGATGACAATCTAATTTCCTCCTTTGCTCTGACCTTGCTCCATATGCCATAGTTTTCACGACTGTTTTGCCCATGTAGTTTAATCTGATGACTACGTCCATATGTCTGTTAGCCGTATGTCGAGCTTTCTTTTTTTGAGGGTAGGATTTCTTCCCACTCTCTTATGACTCAATGAACAGATCTTGGCCTAAGCAGAACTCCAAACCCCACTGCAAGAAGGACAGTGCACAAGTTCCAGTCTGAGGCTGCAGCTGAGAATGCAATTGCCAAAGGAAGGTTTCTGTTTGTTGCAAAGAACCTGCTTCCGTGCACTCATGCCCTGTTTTCTGCTCAGGCGGTGCAGGGATCTCCATCTCTGATGCATTCTGGCCTCTCTTCCAGGGGTGCAGATTGCTGGAAAGCACGCCGTGGTGGTTGGGCGGAGTAAGATCGTCGGTGCCCCCATGCATGACCTGCTTCTGTGGAATAATGCCACGGTGACCAACTGCCACTCCAAGACCGCACATCTGGACAAAGAGGTAGGTGGTCCAGAGTAGAGTAGGTGTCTGGAGGGCGAGCTTCCATGCCTGTGTGCGCGTGCGTGCGTGCGTGCGTGCGTAGGTAGGTAGGTATATCCTCTCACTTAACACCAGCAACTGTGCTGTGTTCCTTGACTCGTTTTTTTCAGAAGGAAGGAGCAAACTCAAATCATAAACTTGCCAACATTTATTCAGATCTTTCTGACCGTAAACTAACTTCCTCTACCATCGTGCCCTGTGGCAGTAACGCAGTACAGTAATTACATCATGTGCAGCTCTCCCAGGCATGATGCTGTTGGCCTTGGGGATGGAGGTGCTCCAGGGCTGAGCAGTGGGCATCTTCAGCTATTCTTGGTTATTTTATTGCTGTTATTATTGTTGGAAGGCTGGGGCTGAGCCCCTTATGGTAGGCAGCATTTTACCACTGAGCCACACTCTTCACCCCAGGAGCTTGTTCTTGAGCCTTATGTTGGAGTCTGGAGTCTAAGAATGCTCACGTGGCTGTGTTCCTGTTGGCGGTTTACTTTTGTGTACGGGCAGAGAATAAGATGGAGGCCTGGCACCCCCCTTTCTAATATTCTTAAACTGTTCAGTGGTGGTGATGGGAGTGGCACTTGCATTTCATGAAAGAGGGTTCCCTCACCAGGAGTGTTGTCCTAAGTCTGCTGCTCCAAACCCCTGTTCCTTCCAGCACTCCCAGGTTCTTACCGCCTTTCCCGTTAGGGAAAACACCTAGCGATAGGGGGCTTTGGGCACAGCACAGGCCAGCAGAAACTCTGTGGTTTGTGCTTGAGGTCTTATCCAGTGTTCTGAAAGTGCTGCTGATAACTAAAAATTTAAAACCACAGTTCAGGAATTTCCTTTCTTTCTCTCTCTCTCTCTGTGTGATTATTTAATTTCTGAAGTCTGGATCCCTTCCCCTCCCTAGGTAAATAAAGGAGACATTCTGGTGGTTGCAGCGGGACAGCCCGAGTTGGTGAAAGGGGACTGGATCAAGCCCGGGGCTGTGGTCATAGACTGTGGGATCAACTATGTCCCAGGTGAGTGGTGCCGGGAGAGGACCCTCAGCTCATCTTATATCAGGGGCTGGGGCTTGGTGTGGGTTAGTGGGGGAGTAGTTGTCAGTGGTGGGCTGTCCTGCCTGCTGTCAGATGTATGACTTGCCACTGTCCTCTACTAATTCTCAGATGACTTAGTGCAGAGAGAGTGGAAGGGGGGACAGGCGCATGCTTGCTTGTTTGCTCGTTCATTTGAGACAAGAGCTCTTCCTGTAGCCAGTCCTGGCCTTGAAATCACGACCGTCCTGTGCCAGCCCCTGAGTGTGGGGTTACAGGTGTGCAGGACTTCACCTACTGTCCGTTCTGCCTTCATATATGTAGCTGACACCTTTATCTTAATAAAGGCACACTTATGTGATACACTACAGTAGTTTTTCCTTATCCGTGATCTTGCTTTCCCTGGTTGCAGTTACTCAAGGTCAACTGTGATCCAAAATTATTAAACGGAGGATTCCTAGTCAGTGAGGTGTTTGTTTTTGAGGCCGGATCTCTCTCTGTAGTTCTGACTGACCTGGAGCTCATTATATAGATCACCCTGGCCCTGAACTCCCAGAGATCTGCCTACCCTTGCCTCCAGGGTGCTAGCATTAAAGGCATGCATCACCGCTCCTGGACAGTTAATGGATTTTAAATGGTTTGCCATCCTGCGTGGCTTGATGAAATCTTGTGCTATCCTTTTCTGTCTCACTCCTTCCTCCCTGGGACAGGAATCATCCCTCTGTCACCTGTGTCCAGGCCAACTACACAACTTACCTGTAAGTCTCTTAGTAACCTCCGCTTATCGGATTTGAACTTGTGTCATCAAAATTGGCGGCAAGTGCTTTTACCCACGGAGCCATCCTCTTTGCGTCTCCTCCCGTCTGTGTGGTGCGTTGCTCTTTCAAAAGAAATTTTCAGGAACAGTTCAGGAGTACCTTCATGCAGTTCCTAATTCAGTAACTACTTCTGTGCACTGGGCTCTGTGACGGAGTATGGCCCAGTTACAGACTTCTCCTATTTATTTATTTATTTATTTATCTATCTATCTATCTATCTATCTATCTATCTATCTATCTATCTATCTATTTATTTATTCATCCATTTTTTTGTGGTTGTGGGACTCAAACCCAGGGCCTTGTGCATGGTAGGCAAGTTCCCTCCCAATGAATTACAGCAGCAATCACCCTTCTGTGTTTGGACTTCAAGTAGCTTCTTCAATTCCTCATGGCAGTCCTTCCTAAACCATATCTGATTTCCTTTCATCCAGGCACGATCTTTGTCTTCTGAATATCTCTCTTGTTAGCTCCGGTCCCACAGAAGTTGGCGTTTTGGGTGTCTTGCATCCTGTGCTGATCTCGGTCAGCTCCCGGGAGCTCCTCAGTAGTCTCCAAGCTGCCTTGTGGCACCCTGCCTTCCCTCCTGACAGATCTGTTGAGTTGTTGAGGCCAGTTACAGCAAGGATTTTTTTTTTCTTCCCTTTTCCTCTTCCCATCTGAAGTTTAAAATGCAGACACTGAGCTGCCAGCAGCATTAGTCACTGTCAAGTTCTCGCTGCTTCTAACCTCCCTCCCACTCGGCCTCGCTTTTAAGACAGTAGCTCATAATTGTCACTCATTTTCTGGGTTTAATTATCTAACGGGTGTGGAAGAAGTTGCTCGCCTGAATCTCCCCGCTGTGAATACTTGCAGTGTGACATCTGAGCTCAGTCTACTTACATCCCATCATCTCTGGATCATAAACTACTATGGACATTAAAAAACAAACAAACAAAAAAACAACAGCAAAATGAGACATGAGATAGAAAAGAAAAAACGTGGCCTGGGGTGCTCCTCAGTGGTAGGGATACCTAGCTGTGCTAAACCCTGCATTTGATCCTATTACTTCAGTGAAAAGGGGAAATTCGTTTATTTATTGGAGATTTAATTAAAAGAAAAATAAAACTGGGTTAAGAGCTAGAATTCTGTATATACAAAGCCTGAAACTTCAGCGTAAACATTGATTTCTCACATAGGTATTAAAACAGCATAGGGGGCCATCAATATTTTCACTGGTCCTAGGCATATGGGCACATAAATACTAGTATGTCTGGAAGGTGTAGCTCCCTGGGAACGATAGAATCATGTGGCTACCGGCCAGACGTAGGCTTCAAGACCTGAAGACTTGAAGGCTGATCTTTGAATCTCTTCGTCTGATGGAGCTATGTAGTCCACTCCTAAGCCACTTCTTGGTTTATATTTTTTAAAATTGTTTTCTTGAGAATTGAATCTCAGTGGGAGAAGAATTGCTTAGCAAGCACAAGACTCTAGGGGTTATCTTATTAAAAATAAAAATAAAAATTGAGCTGGGTGGTGGTGGCACACGCCCTTAACCCCAGTAGAGGCAGAGGCAGGAGGAACACTGAGAGTTTGAGGCCAGCATGGTCTACAGAAGGAGTTCCAGCACAGCCAGGGCTACACAGAGAAGCACTGTCTCAAAAAAAGTCAATGGACTGGTTGGTTGGTTGGTTGGTTGGTTGGTTGGTTGGTTGGTTGGTTGGTTGGTTGATTGATGATTGATTTTGTGATCCACTCAAGGATAAAAGGAACAAATCACTTTACTGGTTAAGAATGAATTAATGCACACATTTTTCCAGCTTTTAAATTTTGATTTGCAGTGTCAGGGAATCAAACTCAGGACCTTCACATTCTGGGCAAACGCTCTGCCACTGAACCACGTCTCCAGTTACCTCAAAGGAATATTTTTTAGGAATGAGCTGGAATGAGGAAGGTATTTGCCAGAATGGTGAATGTGGCTTTCCTGTGTGGCTCATTAGAAAAGATAATTTGAGAAGTGCTAATGCTTTACTTAAAGGGCTATGAGAAGAAGGGACAGATCCCCCACCACACCCTTAACCAGTGTCTACTCACCTTGTAGACAGCTTCTGTGCTGGCCTCCGTAGTTAGTGGTCTCCAAACTAAATGTCACAGTCAAACTCAAGTGCTTGGAACTTTCCATTGAAAGAGAAAGTCTGGGCTAGGAATGGATAATCATGCTGATGAGTGGTCTCTTTCCCACTGACCACTCAATATCTGCGAGCTCTTGTCCCTTTGTCAGCAGGGGATTAAGTCCTCGTAGTGTTTGGTGTGCGTGTGTTTGATATAGGGCACTGTGAAGTCAGAGGATAACTTTCTGGGATTGGCTCCTGCCTTCACCTTGTTGAGACAGCTTCATTTCTGCCGTTTCGTATCCCCCTGAGACTAGCTGGCCCACTAGTTTCCTGGTCCCTGTCTTCACCTCACCCTAGGAATGTTGGAATTACAGGTGCATCAGCCCTGTGTGGGCCCTGGGGATCTGACTGAGAATCTCTCTTGCCATAGTGTGTCTCTTCAGTAACCTAAAACATTGTGAGCAGCTGTGTGTTAGGCCTTTGCAGTTTTGAACTTCCGGTCAATGCCGAGCCTCCAAGGGTGGAGGACAGTTAGTGGAAGGGCTCATCCGAGAGTCTGGGTTGTTTTTGTTTTGTTTTGTTTTTGGCTACATCTGGAGACCTCCTTCCTGACCCAGCAGCATGCTTAAAGAGAGCTGGCAATGTGGCTAAGATTCTACCGGATCCTCTCTGGGGTACTTGAATGCTCCATGGACGAGGCCTGTCTCCCACAGCATCTCCCGGAAGTGCACCAGAGCAGAGTGTAGGATGTTCTTTGTGTGAGTGAGCGATGTTGCATCAGTGAGCTTGTTCCCTTCAATAGCTATTCTTTGCTGCTGAGATTTGTGGTTCTGGTCCTTTTAAGGGAAGCATAATTATATTCTTTGCCTTGAGCAAGCATTTAAGTAACGGCTCAGTCTTGGGAACGGGATGTTGAATTGTTCCTTCAGCTCCTGCCTGGAGCTTACTAACTGCAGACAGTTGCTGTAGAAACCGTATCTAGCAGCTGTGACATAGTTGGAGCTTTGTGTACCTTTAAAAAAAAATCCTTTGTAGGCCTTGGTAAATTAACATTTTAAAAGGTCGTCAGTTTTAAGAATAAGAAACATTTATCATTGAGGGACTACAATAGGATTCTCTGGGATCTGGAAAGCCCCCCTTTTAAAAAGTATTTATTTATTTATTTGTTTCTAAATTATTTTAATTTTCTTTTCTTACCACTTACACATCTTAAGAGGGTTTTTTTT